ATGTATGTATGTATATGTAGATGTATATACGCATAGATGTATAATATAGATGTATGGATGTATATATGTATGCAGGATGTAGAATAGTAGTTGCATAGTAGAATATGGATCCGTTATAATTATCCAGCTTTCCAGAGTCTAAGGGGGCATAAACTTGCGTTTTTTTTGCTGCGGCTTTAGACCTTGGGGTGAAGGGTTCCAGGTTCAGGTTGAAGTTCCGGGCTGTAACCGCCTAGTTTGTTTCGTGGGTTCTTGATTCTTGACATTTGGAGTTTACTAGTTACTAGGGTTAACACTTGCCTGTGCTTGGACAGGTCGAGTGTCTCACAAGCTGCGAGGCTTCAAGCTGCATCATGCACTGGGATGCTTAAGCAACAAGGGTCCAGCGGGGGGGGGGGGGGTGGACGGGGTATGTGACCTAGTAATCCTCCTTCTACCCTACAAATGCTGAGGTTTCTTGGGGATTCCTCGTATCCCCCCAATCAGTGAAGACCCAGCCACAATCGCAAGGACGAGCAGGGGAGCAAGGATAGCAAGGGCTTTTCCTTGAGGAAGCCGATTTGTGGCAGTAAGAACTGGAACCCAAACTTCCCTGGACCTCGAATCAATACGTGAGTCGATAATCTGAAGAAGGAGCCTTGTGATGGCTGTCATAATGGTCAGAATACACAATACAGTAAATACACTTGTCACTTGTCATGGTTCTTTCCGTGTGGCGGAATGACCATCATGACGACACTGGAGCCAAGCTCAACCTACACGTCCAAAGCCCGGACTGATCAGCTCAGAAATTCGTTGCGTGTCTGAGCTGCCCACAGCGAAAAGTAGCAAAGTTGCAAGCCATGATGGCTTGCACTGTGTCGCAGCTGAGGCCGCAGCAGCCAATGCCCTTCGTGGAGGCCTTCTCAACTTTCAGGAATCCTTCAGGGTTGCACGGTTCAGCTTGTGATATCTTTCCCGGGTTGTAAGCTCCATCGTCCAGAGCTTCCAGCCCTACCAGCTGGAGGCTGAAGACGGCGGGGGGTGTAATCTCCGAACGACATCGGTCATCTGACTGCCAAGAGGAAGAAGCGGTGATGAGCAGGCTACATGAATAAGAAGAGCAGGCTACATGAATAAGAAGCGACAGTGATGGCAGCAGACAACTTTCTAAGAACATGAACATTGAGCAGGCTTCCAATCACAGAACTGGTATCATCCTGAGCCTGAAAGTTCTGAGGGACCCGAAGAGAGGGCCCTTCGGAAGCTTGTGCTGAGATCGAGTGCATGAAATCTAACCTGGTGCGTCTGATTTGAGCAGCGTAGTCTTGTGTTTCGGGGCTTGCGGGGGTTGCTACGTACCTCAGGGGTTGATGAAAAGACCACTGCTAAACCGCCAACCGTAGCATAAACACCTCAATTGCCCGAAGCTTGTAGTGACATGCAGTGCAACGTAGTGCCAAAGTCGAAAGCAATCGAGAGCCTCAGGATGCTACGTGCACAACACATGCCCTGGCAACGCAGGAACAGGACATCGCAGGCGCAAGGTGAACAATTGAAAGGGCTTCGCAGCTTTGCAATAGTATCTGGTAGCTTCTTAAGTGCCTGTTCCTTACAACTCGACAAAAAGTGGTATCCACTCCCTGCGATAAGCCATGAACAGTCTTTAAACCTTGAGCTCTAAACCCTAAATCTCGCTTCTCCAAAGGCGCGTCCAGCAGCAGCTGTGCCCCCAATGTGCCGCCTCCACCACCACATCCCGCGAACCAGGCGAGGGCAAACCCTGGCCGAGCCCTGTGGGTTGATGGGGAAATAGTCCGTACTACAACCGGAACCCCGATACCAGAACTAGAAGCCTTCTACTGCAACCAGAAACTGGACCCGACTACAACTGAGCAGCTATATACACAAAAAGGGTCTCTACTACAACTGGAACGTTCTTCTTTATCTATTATAGGGTTGTGTGAACAGTGTGCCGCTGTTTCACCATCTACTAGCTATAATGATGCACATGATCGATGAGGAAGGAGTTGTCGGTGACGGTGACGATGACGATAGCGATGAGGATGATGGCGGGTCAAGAAAAGATGACGATAACATCAACGATAACGGTTCATGCCCTGATAACGATAAACCTTTCAGGTCTCACGGTTTTAGAGCCTTTGGGGTAGCGCACTCTTGGGCTTTACAGGTTTGAAGCTGTTAAACTGTCGGGCTTCACAGGTTTAAAGCCTTGGTCTTAGAGCCGTTGGGGTAGTACATTCTTGAGTTTTACCGGCTTCAAGCTGTTAAACGTTCGGGTTTGACAGGTTCAAAGCCTTTGGGGTAGTAAACTTTCGGGTTTTACAAGTTTGAAGCTTTCGAGGTAGTACAGTGTTTGGTTTACTGCTTTGAAATCAAACCTTCAATAGCATAGAGGCCCTTCAGTACTAGTCTTACTTGTTCATTATGAAGATTTAGTAGAGCGTAGCATCCGGGCGAAGAGCGCTACCTACTGCAACTGACTTGTTTCTAAAAATGAATGTATTTCCTTCAAGGTTGACCATCAGATTGGAAAGCATGCAAAACATTGCAAACTGTAAGCTTGTTGGCTGGTTGTGATATGGTGGTTTCGGGTTTTACCCAAATCCAGGCCCAGTTGCAGTATGGGGCTCATGGTTGCAGTATCGGGCTTCCGGTTGTAGTAGGGACTGGACCAGTCGCGGGTTGATGGGCTGGGCGCTTTCAATGAAGGTTTCCTTTCCGGGGGGTTTGAGTCGTAGTGTTCACGGATTGAGTTTACGATGGACAGACAGGTTTGAGAAGTGGTCGCTTGCAAAACATCTTTTCAGGCGCTTTGGAGGGTTGACGTGCTTTGGGGGTGTCATTACAAGGAGCTGCTGGTCCGGTTTGAAGGTAGGGCCAGGTAGGGCGCGTGTTCACTATTGATGGTGCTTGCGACGGGCGGCTGGGGTAGACCTAGCAGCTCTAGCACCATTTCCCTATGCCTTCAAACCGAAAGTCCTGTCAGTGCCCGAAAGCCTGGCAGCCCAAATCCAAGCCTCGGAGGCATCCATACAAAGCCCATTCCTGAGAGGCCGATTCCGAAACGGCCCCACCGCCAGGCCGCTTCCTGGGTTTCGGGTTTTGGCTCCTTGGGTTTGGGCTCTCAGAGTCTCAGGGTGTTTCAGGGTTGCGGTTTTGGGCCCAAGGCATCCACATGAATTCCGCGGTGCCTGGCAGTCCGGAGCGATTTTCATGGGGCTTTAGGTTGATATGTTTAAAGACGCATGCTGGGCTTGCACTGCAGGGCTTGAGCATGGCTGTGGCCTAGTTTGGCATGACAGATGTGTGTATGTATGTATGCATGCATGCATGAACGCACCAAGGCATCCGCATGGATTCCCCGGTGCCTGGCAGTCCGAGCGTTTGGGTTGATATGTTTGAAGTTAAGGTTTGTAGGTCCTTGTAGGTGCTACGTAGCGTAGCAGTCTCGAAAAAGCAAATGCTGGGCTTGCACTGCAGGGCTTGAGCATGGCTGGTCCGAGGTCCCCGATAGAATCCCAGCAAGCATGGCCTGTTTGGCATGACAGATGTGTGTATGTATGTATGTGTGTGTGTGTATGTATGTATGTATGTATGTATGTATGTATATGTATGTATGTATGTATGTATGTATGTATGTATGTATGTATGTATGTATGTATGTGTGTGTGTGGAACAAGAAAGACGACGACTCGATGATTCGTCGCCGGTGTCATCGGCGGCTACGCTAATTCCAGTTCACTTCGTCCGCACAGCGCCCGACAGCCAGTTCAGATAAGACAAGCGTGTCAGACCGCGTGCACTACAAGTTTCCTCTCTTGAGGTTCGTGTGTGTGGGGAACCCAAACTACTACGGGCACAGGGCATGCGAAGCACGTCAAGCAGCAGACTTGTGAAGCAAGATCAGTGAGTCGTCCTTCAGAATGCAGGGGGTGCCAGGGATGCATGCTGGA